AAGAATTTCATTATCACGAGGAACTGAAAGATACAAGAACATCTTAAGCCCTATTTCTGGCATCCATACCACTATCAATGGGAAAAATAAGTGAACCATTCTATGATTTAAAGAAGACAGCTGATACCATTTATGACTAATTTATTAAACCACTTATTAAACTAAATTAAGACTCATAGATCTAGTGTAATTTTCTCCAAACTACTAAAACTAAGGACAAATGTCAACTGATATCCATTTAAAAACAGCAGACAGGAACTCTCTCAGCTGATGGACATCTGGCTGTACCACTGCGTGGCTATTCCCTTTCTTCTTGATTTCTCAAAGAAAGGTTATTAAAACTAAAATACTCTCACTTGCTTTTATAAATAAAGAGGTGAAATTCGATGCCAAGGGTCAAAGGTCAGAAGTAGTCACATTTTTCTTGCTGTCAGAGATTGGCTTTTGGAAGAAGGACAAAGGGAAAAGTAAATCAAATTTTTAAAAGACTATGTTCAAACTATACCATAGAGTATTGTGTCCTTGTAACACTGGCCTGCTGATGGTACCAACACAGTATGGTCGACTTCAGCCTACACACACAACAGACTATACCAGCAAAAACAGGCTGTCTCCTCTGGACACTCAGCAGCATGCCAAATGACTGTTCTACCCATCAGATGTTCTGAGGAGCAAATGCATGATTCCAAATTAGAAAGAAGAATTTCACCATGGAGACTCCTAATCAGCAATTCAGGAGCATAATCTTATTAACTCAGCAAACCACCCCAGTGCCCTATGGATCTACAGTACAATGATTGGAAAGGCTGTGTGCAGGTATGGTTATTTGGTTTTGTTTTTAATGAAAATATAAGTTGCTGCAAAACTTGTACTCAGCTCTGTTGTCACTATGGCCCTAATAAGAAATTTCTCATGGAGAAAACCAGCATTAGACAGACGTAACAGTAACAGACATAAACGAGGTGGGGGTAAATTCTGAGTGGCCTGAAAAATATTTGGCTTCTGTGATTCTCTCTAAATGTGTGTGCCATGACCAGTCAGAACAGCAGAGAGAGGGCATCTGCTCCAGGGAGAAGGCAAGGCAAGCCTGCCAAGGTGTCGCACAATCTGATAGAGCTCATGGTCTGGCACGCATATGGGTTGATTTCACCAACACATATTTTTCCACACTTTCACATGCCTAAAAGTACCTCCTGACTGCAGAGAGGCAGTCCAGCCTCGGGTGTCATCACTTGCACAGAGCATCAAAATGTGCAGAAGTGGTGTCAGCAGCTTGGAAAACTCTCATGAGTGGCAATGCAGCCATCCTTTAAGGGATGCTATGCCGCCAAGGTTTTGATGGAGCAGATTTGATACTGTGTGGGAAAACAAGACATCAAGACTGAGCATCCAAAAGTGAAGCAAATGAGTGAAGCCTGATGTTCACAGGCCAGAAGGAGGCTTTAACCCAAGGATCCAGTTATTGCAACGACTGGCACTTTTAGCCAGGGAGTTCTTATTTGTGAGGGGCAAGAGGTGGCCGGGAGCCTGTCGTATGAACTGCACGGTGCTTAGCAGCATCTTGGCTGACATCTACCAGTTAAGATTTGACAAGCATGACAGCCAAAAACATCTCTAAACATTGTCAAATGTCCCCTGGATACCCAGATTTCCTGAGTTAAGAACAACCACCTTAAACAATTTATTTCACTTATGAATACACAGGCAACAATGTTTTCTCAAAATTTAGTCTTAATAAGGTATTTCATTAAGAAACTTCAAGAGATAAACCACTATCATAATTTGCAGCCATTTATTCCTCATCTTGAAATCAGTGGCATCTTTGATTCAATGACAGCCTACCACCACTATCCACACCCATTGTTAAGGAGCCCACATCTGCATCTCCTGGTAAAAAATGGCTCCTTTCTCCTGCAGTCTTAGCCAGTTCCTAGTCATGGTTCCTCAGTCTTCCATTCTGAACTATCAAGCAGGTTTACTAAGTTAACCAGAGTGAAGGATGGGTCTTTCAGTACAAAGAAATCTCTGACACAAGGTCTTCAGTTAGGCTGCTCTGATAGAAGACATTTCAGGATATTTCTCCGCCCCAACGTTAACAGGCGATTATATTTTCCTGCTTTCCTCAGCACTCTGCACCTGCCAGAGCAAAAAGTAAGCTGGGGTCCCTATACTTGCCTCTAGCTTTGAATGAGCTTTTAAAATTGCTCAAAGAATAGGCTGCACTTAAAAAGGGGAGGGAAGGGTGAACATTTTCACCTCACAGAAACAGGAAATACTTGAGAACAGAGTGGGGTATAGCATGACTGAACATTATACAGTGCACATGCCCGTGGGAACATTACGAGGCCATCCATTAGAACGTCCAATAAACACTAGTATGGGGAGTTATAATAATGATTCTATAAAAAGAAACATCACAACAGAAATTAATTCCAAAGTTCTCCTAAAGCAGGTGTATCTGAATTGAACTCTTCTGTGTGCCTAGGTTCAGATCTCACACACTGGAAAGGTGGACAGTTCTGTGTGCATCTGGAGGGTCAGCAGGACCTGTGCAGGTGACAATACAATGGCACAGAGAACCATTCTGAAGAAATGCTCGCACGCCTTTATTCCAATTTAGGCAACAGACAACAATGCCGCAAGATGCTGCTTTTAAAAGACCAAACTGAGAATTTTCTTAATGACTGTGCTATAGTTTCTTCTCTGGGGGGAGGAGAAGAAGAGGGGGGAAAGCTATTGATTCTTCCCCAAGTGTCATATAGGAGAACATACACTTTTTGCCAAGATTTGACAGCTGGGGGTTGTCATGAAGGCTTCAAACAAAACAATTTTTAAAAGAAAAAAAATCATGTAACAGCTGTACCACCCTCTGTTCTCTGTAGAGGTAACAGAAAATAAACCCTTTATCAATAGCCATTTGTCCAGGTTACAGCCAGGTGCCAACCCCATTCCACATGAGATATGAAAGTGGCCCTCGCCAGCACCTTTTATTCATCTCATCTGCCCTTTCCCTTTCATGGGCCAGAGCAGAGCACATGGGAGTCAAATAATGAAGGGAAATGCACACAAAACCGCAGTGAATGACTCGAACAAAAAGCCTGTACCACATGGGAATAAAGGAAGACAAAAGAACTCCTGGAATATAGTTAGCAAAGTACACACATGAATTTGAGCACCACCCCAAAAAAATCTTATAAAAATAAAATTTAAGAAAATACAATTCCAAGCAAGACATAGAAATGCTACCATAATGTGCTGCTTTTATTTACTTCTTAATGAAACTGATATGAATTTAACACCTAAACTTCAGTACCTAGTTATATATACTCCATCTCCCTTTATTATTATATATATAATTATATAAGATATAATTATAATTAAATAATTATAAAGTGCTTCATAGGAAACCACTATGTAGACACAGACCCTTCTGGCAGTGCTAATTTTATATCAGTTTTCTTAAGTCATAACCCTTTATCTATTGCCTCAGAAAATGGTGGACTTAATGGGCAGTTTTATATTCTTTTCCATATTTTGTATGGATACATTGCAAGTTCAAACTCATCAGCTGGGGGATAAAAGATCAGAGAAATTAAATTATAATCCTACAGCCAATGAGGACTCCATACCAATACAAAGCTTCCTTCTATTAGCTTTATCAAATTGCAAATAGATTCTAGCCAAGTGGTGGTGGTGCATGCATTTAATCCCTGCACTAGGGCAGCAGAGACAGGTGGATCTCTGTGAGTTTGAAACCAGTCTGGCAACAGACAGAGTTCCAGGACAGCCAAGGCCACACAGTGAAGCCATCTTGGAAAACAAACAAACAAACAACAACAACAAAAGATTCTAAGTTCTTGTTCCATGTAGTTATGTGTCTGCTGCTTGTCATAAAAAAATAACACATACCCACAATGCTCTATGCTCTGTGCAACCTTCAGAACCCACTGACAGAAAGCACTTGCCTCTTTTCTTGGGCTAAAACGTATTTGCACATTTCTATGAATAAGTACATACTTTAGATCTTTTTCCATAGCAAATGTGTATGTAAGTAGTATCAGCACTGTTTTGCATACTGTTTCTCTCACCTACTCCCCAAGTCTATGGCTCTTGCAAATTATTGAGAAAGCAAATATGGATCTACATGACTATCTACTGTTCACTGAAGGCCTGTACCATGATTCATGCATCACTCCCCCAGGAGGGCCTTGGACTGCTTCCAGGTTTCAACTCTATTATTTCAATGAGCATTCTTTTAGCTATTATTCCTGATAGTGTTAATAATGATAACAATAAAATGGGAGTAACTACATATAAAAAATGTATAAGATATGAAAGAATGGTTATTTCTGTAAGACAGAATTATAGAGGACTTTCATTTTCAGCTATGCAAATTTCCATAACATCTCAATTTTTAAGTGGGTATATCACTAATTAGTGCTATTTGTTAATCCATGCATTATATGTGACATATGATATTCATAATTACCTATAATAGTATCCATTTTATATACAGTAACAAGCAATTCAATTTTCAATCTTAAACATATTCTCGTAGAGATTCAGATATTCTTAGGATTCCTCAGAAACTATTTTCCATATACTGAGAAAACAAAGCTCATATAATAATATAATTCTCTAAAGACATGAAAAACTTAGGACTTTACCAAGCACAACCCCAAAGCAAAATAGCCAAGTTTTTACGTTCAGCACATTCTGGAGTTCTACCATACAAAGTATTGTTGCTTGGTTTTTACAATCAACAGCCAAGAACATTTGTTGTATTTGCGGAAGATCCATATGGAGACTCACAACTGTCTGTACTTCCAGTTCCAGGGGATTCAACGCTCTGTTCTGACCTCCACGGGTACCAGGAACACAGGTAGTGCATAGACATACATGCAAGCAAGGGACTCATTCACATAAAATAACATAGATAAATCTGTTAAAATTGTTCCATATCACAAGTCTAGGCAAACCTGTAGTTCCATGGAACTCACCGTCTCTGGTTTTCTGATTCCTTCTTAGCTTGCTCCAATGCCAGCTCCTCGGCTACTCTTTTTTTCAATTCTTCATCAGAAACTATAACCAACAAAAAGTAAAAGGAGATGAAATGAGTGCCTTGCTAAAACCAAAAACAAGAAAAGATGGCTAAGGTGGGTCTGAACAGGCAAAATTCTACCAGGTGGTCAGTGTCTCCTTGGAACTCCCTGAACACTGCAGAAGGGGCCAATTAGTGCACTTCAGAAGTAATTTAATCAAGAGTCCCCTGGTGACCTAGAAATTTCCACACCTGCCAAAATTTATAATAAACTCAAGGAGCTGCTTACTGCCCAGTGGGGAGACTAAGCCATTAAGTGCAAGGTCTTTAAAATGATGTCCTAACACTAAAGTCTGACAATGTCTGTAAAGGGAGGGCAGACTATCAAGGACTTTAGGCAGGAAAGGGATGCCAAAAAGCTTCTCAATTCAATAATTAAATAATTACACAAATATTACAAAGCATGAAATATTTATATTCAGTTCTTCCATAATTTATGAAAAAGGCATTTATGACTTATGGGAATTTAGAAATCATATTTTCTGGGATATATGTCATTCAAACTCAAGTTCCAACAACTGGAGACAGAGAACAGTACTGAGCACACAGCTGGAGCTTCCTAAATACCTAGAGACTTGATTGGCAACATCTGGCCTTTCCAATTAAAAGACTGTATACAATATGTCTTGTAAAGATTTTTACAGCTATAACAGTAAATACTGGACAAGTTTTACGGATTATGAGTTTTCCGTAAAAAAAATAAGAAAAACTATCTCTTCTTCATTAGAAAGCTATCAACTAAAATATGAGTGAAAAGCACCAGAACCATTGGGAACGTCGAGGAAAACACAGAGAACCTGGTGTTATTCCTAATGGTTCCACCTCTTAGAAAACAAGACAGTCTGTGTCTGCCTGCTACCTGTATACATTATTTGGTAACCTATCAAAGGTTATGTGTTTGGGGTGAGGAAGGCTTGGTAAGTACTGGCTCCTTTTGGGAACAGATCATTGCTATGTAGGCGAAGCTGGCATCAAATTCACAATCAGCACCCTCAGCCTCTCAAGAATCAGCTTGTGTTAACACAAAAAGCTAGGGGTTGCTCCCTATAAGAAAACTGAAAATTTTGAAAGTAAGAAAACATTGAAAATGTTCTAAATTTGACTGCTTGATGGTTGCACACAAACCTATAAATAAGCTTAAAAAACAACTGAACTGTTCACTTTAAATGATAAGTATCTCAATAAGGAGAAAGTACAATATAAAACATAGGGCAAGGACAGGGAGCTGGGAAGTTCTGTGCTGCACAGCTGTCTTGTTATGAGGTCTCTTCCTCCCTCCCTCCCTCCCTCCCTCTCTCCCTCTCCAGGTCTTTCCCAAGTCTGCACTGTCTCTGTTCTGCCTTTAGAGTGGTTTCATGAGAAAGGTGGCCTCAACTCTGAAAAGAAAAATACTCTTGCATCCAGGGAAGTCTTAAGGTTTTTTGCTTGTTGAAGAGCTTTAAATCATAAAAATAAAAGCAGAGAGATTGCAGGCAGTAATAGCTCAAAAAGGGAGCCTGATTAAGTCTGTTTTTCTATTACCTAGACTTTGGATAAGCAAACAATTGATCTCTCTGACTTCTGGCTTCCTAACCAAACACAAGCCTTGTGAATGAACCTGCCAGCCCTGAAGTTCTGAACTGCGCTCCACAAGATCAACATGGCCAGCTTCTCAGAAAAGCAAAACAATGTGAGAGAAAGTCCTCCCGGGTTGAATTCAGCACCACAACAAGCACATCTAATTAGTACTGCCTGATCTAAATGAAGTCTGGCAGACCATGGTGACAACACACCGCCAATGTGAAGCAACATCACTTCCTACGGGAGTTAAAATCACAACAGAATACTTTTCTCTGGTAAGAGTCACTAAGATTCTCCATCAAAACTCAACTAATCAATTAAAAGTAGGCCTCTGGAAGACCACAGTATGCCAAGCCTAATATGAGTCACTGAGATCAGTTTTCAACCTAAGCTGAGAGAGAAAAGTCTCATATCTTCTTGGTTTATTGGGTTATTTTTCCAACTTTACTAAGGAATAATTGACAAAAAAAGTATAGATTCAATATGATCATTTTATAGTTATATCAATTGCGCAATGGCTGCTACAATAAAATTAACACATTAGACACCACACACAGTTTATTGTGAGTTTCTGAATGAAGTAAAATCTGGCCCTATTAAATCTCAAGTACAAAATAAAATATATAAAATAGAGTCGCCATGCTGCATAGCCTGTCTGCCCTGAGCTTCCTCATCCAGAGCAACCTATATCCAACATCTCCCAAACCCAGCCCTCCAGAACTGCTCTGCTTCTGTAGTCCCACAGCTAAGTGAGACCGCGCAGAAACTGCCTTTCTGCATCTGAATCCATGACTCATCTCCGTAACTCATTTCTTGTCTGTGACACTGGGGCTTTTCCTTCCAGGGCAAAGGCCAAAATGAGCAGTGATGTGACCAACTGGGGCAGTGACGAAGTGGCAATGCGAAATGGCAGCAGGTGGGTGGGTGACACCAAGGCCACATGCTAGGACTGTGCAGGCACAGTGCTATGGGGAGAGGGCTGCTATTCCTTTCCCACTCCTCTCTGCCTGTCCTACTCAGCCCCCACTGCCTCGTGTGAGGCAAGAAGCAGGAGCAAATGGATTAAAGGTGGCATAATCTAGACAGGCCACGGGGGAGGGAGGATAGAAACAGAAACAAGAGGGGCAAGAAAGTTCTAGAAGACATGCCCAAGTGATGAGCTAGGTGACATCACTTCTGGTCAATAAAGGCAACAAAACACAGCTATCTAAAACCTTAGCTATTTCCAAGAAACAGGGCAGGAAAAAAAAGCGTAACTTTGGGTCTCAAGGTCAAAACTGGAAAAGTAATTATCTAAGCTAGCATCCAGATTTCAGAATGCCAAAAGATAACTCAAAACCTACCATAAAGAATTCAGAACCTACAACAGCAGGTCAACGCACAGGCAGAAAACAAGCTAGTGTAAACTTATTTGTTTTTAAATCAATAATACAGAAAGCAACAATGTAGTTCTTCTGATAGGTCAGATCCAAAGCACCCAAGAGAAAAAGATACAGCACTCAGAGCCCGCTATTTAAAATGGTCTTTATGGAAATTTCTCCAACTCTCCAGATCTGAACATTTTCTCAGCTACAACTGTTACTAAACTAAAAGGTCAGGGTTTCAGGACAAGCTACCAAAAGAATCGGAGGAAAGGGGACTCTGCCCATTAGCTAGCGCTGTGAATTCCCAAGCAGACCTGTGGAACTGTAAGTGAGAACTGCTCATGCCATCTAAAGGAGATTTGCCATGGAAATCTGCATATGCTTCTTCAAGTTCACTGAGTATGGCTGGCCCTGTGGCTCTCACATACATTCACACATTCCCTCTAGAATGTGTTAAGATTTAGGGATGTTTTCTTCGAAAACATGTACCAGATCAATACCTTGGTAAAGTCTCAGAAATCACTGGAAGTTCTCAAAAGTGAGTATGTTTTAATGAACACTAACACATTCTGTGAAATGGTTATAGAAAATAACTTTGCTGACACTGAGTTTAAAACGCTGCTTGGTTATATCAAGTTTGACCTTAAACCTCTTACTTGAAAATAATTCCTGATTAAAAACAGGTCATGATTCCTAACAATTTTTTATTTGCTTGCTTGTAACTTAACTAAACATTGGGAATTCTGTAATTCTCTTCTCAACTAAATTTCTCTGCTATAAATGTATGTTTAGAATCAAATACTGAAGCTTCAAGATGGCTAACCTTATGGTACTCAATTCTGAGCCATCTTTGGAACTATGACTACCATGGTCACACCTGCAGAGAAGTGGAGCATACACCAATTCGGCTCCTGCGTAACAACTAATCATGCTGAGTTTCTTTCTGTGTTTCCAGAGAAACTGATTAAACCAGCGAGCAGTGATGAGGGCACCTTTACAATAAATCCTTTGAGCAGTGAAGAGAAACAGCTGCAAAGGAGGGAGGTCTTACATACATGCATCATCTATGGAAAACACAATCCTGGTTTACAAAAATGTCTCAGGACTCAAGAGACACACCACAGGCAGGTAGATCTTCGAGTTCAAGGCCAGACTGGTCTGGTCTATAGAGCTAGTTCCAAGACAGTCAGGACTACATAGAGAAACCCTGTTTTGAGAACTCCAGGGGAGGGGAGGGTACATACACGACACACCAGCTTTCTGTGCAATTTTTTCCACCTTTACAGTTTCTTTGCCTAACCTTGCACATTTGTTACAGTATTTCTTAACCCCTAACAAATTTCTTAATAAAAATTAAGACTTGCTACTTAGAAAAACACCAGTTCTTTTGCGATTGCCCCTTCACTCAATTGCCTTTCTGGGCTTTAGTCTGCAGATACACATCATGTCCAAGCATGAAAAATCTATTATTCTCTGCGCTAAACACTGAGAGAAACGATGATGCTGTACTATATGTAGAAAGTGTGCTGCTGTTTAACACAAGCAGATTTTACAGGATTCTGACTTCTCTGGATTTAGACACTTGAGCTACAGCCTGTAGCAAAAGATACACTCAAATTATATTTCAAACTCCACAGAAACTCATTAATGGTAAGATGGCAATAAACTCATTAATATGAAGAGAACTTATTTTTTAAAGTACTAATGGAAGCATCCATGCAATCAGTGAAATACAACACAGTACATTACAGCTAAACAGCCTTGGCATGTGCTGCAGTATCAATCTTGTCCTGTGCCACATCTCCTACCAGGTGCAGGTTTTGATGACTAGGATAGATCTCAGGAGCAAATAAATATGTAACACTTTGTCATCTGTAACACAATCTACCTGGCAGACAAATTTATTTAAACACACAAAAATACATATCCAAAAATAATATGTTCTGCCAACAATTAACAAAACATCACAATGTCACACAGTAAATGTATCTTAAGACTGCTTCAAAAAAAAAAAAACTGAACCTATCTACATACCTAACAGAATAACTGTGCCTAAT